TTCCCTTACTACCTCTTCTACTATTGGATTTGAATTGACGATTACTTCTCTGTGCTGATGTGGTATGGCAACATGAACTGATGTACTTACGTACGAAGTTCTACGTTGCATCTGACTGACTGACTGTCCAGGTCGAAAATCAGCCTGGTTTTCTCTAGTCTGCTCTTCAAGAGCACCAGTAAGGCGTCTAAGTATAATCGAGGCTAACAATTAAGTAACTATATTATTAAGCTTACTCCCCTGTGGTTGTCACAAGAAGACTTGTCCTTTCTTATAAATGGGGACAATCAACTTTTTATCAGCCTACACTTAAGCTGATTTCGTTCTTCATCATGTTCACAGCCAGGTGGGATGAGTTTTCGGGCATCCATCAGTTAGATGGATGCTACAGAGATCCACGGTTTCATTCTAGCCTTATGGTTAACCTTACTAGCAGATATCACTCCTGTTTTCACAGCCTTTTTGATATCATTCCAACCTGCCTCCGGATGGGAATCGCTTAGATGGCCGCCTAACTGTCTTTCTAGTTCCTGGAATATATTCTTAGCCTCATTGTCATTAAGTAGAACCATAAGAGGCTTTCTTACGGCGTCCTTCCTACGCCCAGTAAGCCTCAAACAAATACGGGCTCGCACTAGGGCATGATCTGAATCTAAACATGTGCCCCAGAACGAGCGGCAGTCCTCTATCGATGGTTGATGGCGATATGATCTAGTTGCATCCAACGTTGAGACGACTTCGGGGGTCGCCAGGTCAAAATATGTTTTTCCTTATGCTTAAAATTAGTGTTTGCTAGAAATTGGCGGTTATCTGAGCACAGTTGTAACAGACGGTCGCCATTGTCTGTTCTTTGAGCCGCGAGACCCTAACATCCACCTAGGTGTCTTTCATTTTCACTTAGTCTACATACTTGAGCATTGAAGTCACCAGCCATTATTACTACATCAGAGCGCTTAACTTTTTGGAGGAGGTCCGAAAGCTTTCTGTAGAACTCGTCTTTCACCTCGTCTGAACTGCAGTCAGTGGGGGCATAGGCAGATACGACGGAGGCAACGACGAGTGTTCCTATCTTTCCGCGTCCTTGCTGTCCCGTTCAGTCGGACAGCACACAAACGACTATCTACTGGGATCCATTCTAGGAGAGATAGTTCTGCCCTACGACTCAATGCTATACCTACACCAGCGAGACCCCGGGAAGCAGCATCAGGGCTACCGGATACACGAAGAGTAAATCGAGCTGCTTCTTTATTTTGACAAGGCGGGATCAGATTAATGACTTTACTAGGATCCTGTATGCGCGTTTCCGAGGCGCAGCATACATCGATGGCGCGAGATTCTAAAGTTCTAGCTAACGAAGCCTGTTGCCCTATTTGACATAATGTACGTACATTAAATGCTCCAACATGTAGTCTAGAACGGGGTTTCAGAAGACCAGGAATGATGTTTCGTGAACTCGCATCGTTTGCATTAGCTGTGCAGTGTGATAAAGGAATGTGAGAAGAGTTAGTCGTGGAGATAAGAGAGGTACTAGGTGGTGTAGAAGGGATTTGATTGTGATCAATTCAGTCTCGTGTGCTGTTACAGGTATGAGGGCGGTTGTCACTTCCCGGCTGCCCACACCGTGGAAGGTTGTTTCTAGAGGAACCTGAGAAGGAAGGTGTATTAGCGTTGGTCTTAAAGACCTGGGTGCGTGACCGCAGAGCCCAAGGGACAACTGCTTGAGGCTGGTCACGCACGGTCGTTTTATAAAGGGTCTTTTGAGTATTAGCTCCGCTCAACCCTTCCTTGTGAGAAGGCAGCATCGCTGCAGATGCTGGTTGTCCGAGGGAAACACCTTACTGCTGTCACACCCATATGAAGTCAGCAGTACGACTTCGCCCTCTCCAATCGACCTGCCTGGCGTGGTAGAACCTTCAGGAACATATGTTCCAGCCAATATAGCTCGGTTGGGTCATCACGATAGTCAAGCCCGACCACCACGTCAAGGTAGCAGCTACGGTCGGGACCAATCAGGAAAATCATAGCCAAACCAAACATAGGATAAAGAAACAGATTAAAGGGGGAAGCAATCAAAATAAAGGTGCAAACACCGACAGGTTTAAGGTCAATAACAACTAATCAAGATCGAGGTTAACAGAACAGGTTACGGGTCAAACGTGGATAAATCCGAATACTCAACTTTCATCTGAAGTTTGGGCTGATGATATTGTTCAGAAGAATAATGAATGCTCCGCAACCAAAACATATAGCTCAGAGAACGGAATTCCACCACGCATTTCAATGACAAACGCTGCCACTTAACTTCACGGTCAACTGAGTTAAACACTGCCTTAGAGTCGAGGAATAAAACTATTGTCGGTCACCGAAGCGTATGTCTGTGTTGTAGGATATGACGAAGAGTGAATATTTGATCTATACATCTACGTCCAGGTCTAAATCCAGCATGGGTTTATCGAGTCCTCTTTATGAGCTATAGTTAGGCACTGAAGTATCATTGAAGCCAATAGTTTAGACTGTATAAGCTTTTTAAAGTCATGTAATCTTATTTTTGAGCACAAAAATAAATACGAGCTGCACAACTAAGATGCGGTTGTAAAGAGATAAGCAGATAGAAACTGTGATTAAAAGCAAGTAGATGAAACGAAAGTGAACCAGAGACCATAAAATAGAGGCAGTTCAGTTTAAAAATATACAGCTGGGAAAATTCTTTCGGTTAAAGTCCTCTTTTATGAATTGAGAGAAAATTATTACATGATCTCCAATGACTTCTGTCCTGAACTATGTCGGATAACGTCTCAAGCCACTGAGTTGCTCCATCTTTAAGGCCTTAACCAAGGAATCGTGATTAACGTCAAGTTACACGTGATTAAAACGTGCGTTCAAAGTTCATCTCAGGTATATTTTATTAAAGATTACTAAAATATCTAGAACTAAATTAATATTTAATGGAGTGGTTGACAAGTTCTTAATTACTTTGGTAATTTTGTGTTTAAAAACTAATGAATGATTGTCTAACCAGTTACATGTGTTGTTAAGTACACTAGCTAGTGCGACTGTGACCGTCATGTTTTGTAAATTGCTAACACTTGTCCTATAGATTTCTGGGAGTTCTGATTTTTATGGGATTCAGCATATAGTACGCTACCATAAAAGTTAATTATAAACTTAGTCAATTGTGTCTAAGTACTAGTACACAATATGCAGTAAAATCATTGGGTGTTCACTGTTAAGGTTAAATGCAAAAATTCTTTTGGCAAGATGTAGCCTGTCGAAATGGTTACTAAGGTACGTCTTATGTCGGACACAGTAGGAATCTATTCGGCCTTCATCATTGTATCGGGCCTTATATTATTTAATCATTCAGTAGTAATCACTGTTATACAAATTTCTGACTACAGGTGTTTAAGTAAATCGTTATCACCCATTAACCTTTTACAGAAAGAATTATCCGTCACTCCGGATGGTGGGATCAAGTATGCAGAGACCATGGAAGGAGGGAAACCGAAACTTGGTGGGTTGATGGATCCTCGACAGGGTTGTGTAGATCGTAGTTCTATCTGTCAAACATGTAGTGGTAATGTGTCATCCTGTCCAGGACACTTTGGTCATGTGGAACTTGCAAAACCGGTCTTCCATATTGGCTTCCTTAAAAAAACTATGAAGGTTCTACGCTGTGTCTGTTTCTATTGTTCGAAAATTCTAGTTGATGTGCAGTCGTCAAGAATCCAAGAGATATTACGCAAAACAAAAGGTGATAACAGACGAAGAATGTCTTTTATGTATGAAGAGTGCAAGACACGCACTGAGTGTATATCCAATGATGATCAAATTCAAAGCGAAAATGATGTCAGCCTTAGTAGTAAAGTGGGTTTTGATGTTAAATTTACAAACTCTTATTCTTCTTCCTAACTACTATTTACGGTAAAGAAATTCTCATCAAGTGCAGAATATTTGTGGATAATTTTTAGATTAATAAGTGTTGAGGTCTATCTCTAGGAAATGGGTTGTCGAATTCGACGTTTATGCTAGACGAACGTATATTCAGTGTAGGACATATGAACTCTTGCGTCCACATATTCATGAATACTTTTAGTCCCTAAACAGTGAGCCATTTATTCAATAGTTTGAGTATAGTTGGGAAAATGACATGATCATCAAAAGTAGCCTGGTATTAAGGCTTAATCAGATTGTCTAGTTAGTAATTTTCGGTTCATTACTAATGTACATGTAAAAAATCCTAGTGTTACTTGGGACCAGTTGTTTCTAAAGTGACTTTTCTATAAGATTACAAAAATTATTTCTTAATCAAGTAATTTGTCTTTCTAACCTTACCTCACTGAATTATATTTTTTGAATAATATCTTCAAACCCTAGTCTTCTTTATTAACATTAATACCTCTACTATCTTTATCACTATGGGATTTGATTTGACATTTGCGTTTCTGTGCTAATAATGTGGTATGGCAACATGAACTTATGTACATACGTACGAAGTTCTACGTTGCAACTGACTGACTGACTTGTAAGGTAGCATCCAATTCTTGTAATGGGTCTTGTATTGGACCAATAGCTATCCAAGTTTTTCATTGCTTTTTTAGTTTTTAAAGGCTCAGAAATTTCTGCTTACCTCTTACATATTTTTGCTTTTGATGTCAGTGTAATGCACATCCATTTTCTTTCATTCTATGAATATATCATGACTATTAAACATTTACAGAATTTTCTGGTCAGTCATGAGTTTATTCCTACCTATAACGTTTGTGACAAACAGAAAAGCAAATCAGCGTGATATATGCTTATGTTGGTAAATCAAAGCGAGATCACGAACTTGATCCCGTTTGTGTTGTGACTACAGATTTGGACTAGTTGTGTATCATTCCGTTCTTTTGTCTGCCTCTTGTTTTTGTTATGTAAAATATGGACTTCATGTCAACATAAATTCTCAGTTTACCCTTTATGAGAAGCGTAATTTGATTTTTGTAACTAATAAATTTAGTAACGCACTTTCGATTTAACAAACAAGTCATTCCTGGTGTACTGTAGGTTAAACAAGTAGCTCAGGTTAGTTCTATTCGTGGTTATTGACTGCAGACTGTGGGATCAATCAGGCGTTATTTAACAAAAGTATTTCAACTGTTTTATACTTTTTTATACAGGTTAAGCGCTCTGGTTGTGGACGTTATCAACCTCGTTTCCGTCGTAATGGACTTGAGCTTACTGCTGAGTGGAAAAAAGTGAATGAGGAATCACAAGAACGGAAAATTAATTTGACTGCTGAACGTGTATTAGAAGTTTTCAAGCGTATGTCAGATGAAGATTGTTTATCTCTTGGGTTTGATCCACGTTATGCACGACCGGATTGGATGATTGCCACTGTTCTGCCGGTCCCTCCTTTATGTGTCCGTCCTGCCGTTGTGATGTATGGAGCCACTCGTAATCAGGATGATTTAACACACAAGCTTGCTGATATAATAAAAGCTAACAATCAGCTCCGTCGAGACGAACAAAATGGTGCAGCAGCCCATATAATTGTTGAAGATATCAAAATGTTGCAGTTCCACGTCACAACTATGGTCGATAATGAGGTTCCTGGGTTACCTAAGGCAATTCAGAAGTCTGGACGCCCACTGAAGTCTATCAAACAACGACTCAAAGGTAAAGCTGGTCGTATTCGAGGTAACCTCATGGGAAAACGTGTTGACTTCTCAGCTCGTACTGTCATCACAGCCGACCCCAATCTCAATTTAGATCAAGTGGGTGTTCCACGAACAATAGCTCAAAATCTAACTTATCCCGAAATAGTTACTCAATTTAACATAGATCACTTACAAAAGCTGGTACAGAATGGAACCCTCTATCCTGGTGCTAAGTTTATAGTACGTGAAAACGGAGATCGTATTGATTTACGGTATCATCCTAAGGTTTCAGATCTAACACTTCAGGTTGGTTACATTGTTGAACGGCATATGTTAAATGATGACTTTGTGATATTCAATCGTCAACCAACGTTGCATAAAATGTCCATGATGTGTCATCGTGTTAAAGTCTTGCCCTGGTCTACGTTTCGTCTAAATCTGTCTGTCACTTCGCCGTATAATGCTGATTTTGACGGTGACGAAATGAACTTACATCTTCCACAATCTGTTGAAACGAAAGCGGAAATAAGTCAGCTAGCACGAGTTTCACGTTTAGTGATTACACCGCAAGCTAATAAACCTGTCATGGGTATTGTCCAGGATACTCTAACCGCAGTAAATAAAATGACACAACGTGATGTCTTTTTAAATCGGTCTGAAATGATGAACTTGTTAATGTACTTACCAACATGGAATGGTCGTATGCCTAAACCAGCAATTTACAAACCTCAACGTCTATGGACTGGAAAGCAGTTATTTAGCCTTGTTATACCTGGTCGAGTTAATTGTATTCGTACGCATAGTACTCATCCAGAAGAAGAAGATATTGGTCCCTATAAATGGATATCTCCTGGTGATACTAAAGTCATTGTTGATGATGGAGACTTAATCTCGGGTATTTTGTGCAAAAAAACACTAGGTTCTGGTGCAGGTTCTTTAATTCACATCGTCGCATTGGAGCATCATCATGATCAAGTTAACATGTTCTTCAATAACATCCAGACGGTTGTTAACAATTGGCTTCTTATAGAAGGACATACAATCGGTATTGCTGATACATTATATGACCAGGCAACTCGTCGGCAAATTAGTGGTACAATTACCAAAGCAAAAGACGCTGTATTCGAAATTATCGATCAGGCTCATAATTACGACCTACAACCAACACCAGGTAATACACTTCGACAAACTTTTGAAAACAGCGTTAATAAAATTCTTAACGACGCTCGTGATAAAACTGGTAGCTGCGCTCAGCGCTCTCTATCTAAGTACAACAATTTCAATATTATGGTCGTCGCCGGTTCTAAAGGTTCTCGTATTAATATTTCTCAAGTCATCGCTTGTGTGGGTCAACAAAACGTTGAAGGTAAGAGAATTCCCTTTGGTTTTCGTCATCGTACGTTGCCACATTTTATTCAAGATGATTATGGTCCCGAATCTCGTGGCTTCGTCGAAAATTCATACCTTGCTGGTTTAACACCTACTGAATTTTTTTTCCATGCTATGGGTGGTCGAGAAGGTTTGATAGACACTGCAGTCAAAACTGCCGAGACTGGGTACATTCAGCGTCGTCTAATTAAAGCTATGGAGTCAGTTATGATTAAATACGATGGGACCGTTAGAAATCAAATTAATCAGTTAATTCAACTCAGATATGGTGAAGATGGGTTGGATGCAACACATGTGGAGTTTCAGCGTCTTCCAACATTCAAACCATCCAATGCTGTTTTTGAGCATGGTTTTCGATTCGATATTGGTAACGAAAGAGTTCTGAGACGATGTATGCCCGAGGATGTTGTCCGTAGTTTGGCTACAGATTCCCAAACACAATCAGAACTTGAGTCAGAATGGCTTCAGTTGTGTTCTGATAGAGATATTCTTCGTTCTGTTATCAAAAAGACTGATGATTCTGTTGTTTTACCATGCAATATTAATCGACTAGTAATGAATGCTCAGAAAATCTTTGAAATAGATCCGCTTTCAAAGACAAATATCCACCCCAGACAAGTCGTTGAAATGGTTCGAGAAACTTGCAGGCGCCTAATAGTTGTGGCAGGTGATGACCGACTGAGCAAAGAGGCCAATGCAAATGCCACACTTTTGTTAAGCTCATTGATCAGAGCATCGCTATGTGCGAAGAAGGTAATCATTGACTACCGCCTCAGTTACGAGGCTTTAGATTGGGTATTAGGTGAAGTCCGTGCCCGTTTCCAACAAGCTCATATCCATCCGGGTGAAATGGTTGGAGCACTAGCAGCTCAATCTCTCGGAGAACCAGCTACTCAAATGACTTTGAATACCTTCCACTACGCTGGTGTGTCTGCTAAAAACGTCACGCTTGGTGTTCCTCGTCTAAAGGAAATAATAAACGTAAGCAAGCGTCCTAAAACTCCATCTATGACAATTTTCCTGACTGGTCAAGCTGCCAGAGATGCTGAACGAACAAAAGATGTTGTTGCACGGTTAGAGCATACTACTTTGCGTAAACTGGTCAACAGCACGTATATATATTATGACCCAGATCCCCAAAATACTGTAGTTGAAGAAGATAGAGAATGGGTATCCACATATTACGAGTTACCAGATTTTGATGTTAGTGCAATAAGCTCTTGGATGCTTCGCATTGAATTCACTAGAAAAGGCATGACTGGTAAAAAATTATCAATGGAACAAATCGCGGATAAAATAACTCGAGCTTTTGGCAATGATCTTATATGTCATATACCAGATGATAATTTGAAGCTGGTTATGAGAATTCGCATTATGAATAGTGATTTAGAAAAAGACTTCAAAGATGCTGATACTACATCTGATAAAATGGAAGACGATACTTTTCTTCGTTTTATTGAAGCCAATTTATTAACTGATATTACTCTTCAAGGAATACCTCAGATTACAAAAGTGTACATGCATCTACCCAAAACACAAGATAAAAAACGTGTGGTCATTAAAGATGATGGAAGTTTTGATACCGTTGCAGAGTGGATGTTAGAAACCGACGGCACTTGTCTGATGAGAGTTCTTGCTGAACGAGATGTGGATCCTGTACGTACGGTTAGCAATGATATTGTAGAAATTTTCGAAGCTCTTGGCATTGAGGCTGTTCGAAAAGCGATAGAATGTGAGATGCATCATGTCATTTCTTTTGATGGCTCGTATGTCAACTACCGTCATCTGGCGTTATTGTGTGACATTATGACTGTTAAAGGGCATCTCATGGCTATTACTCGTCACGGACTTAACCGTTTAGATACGGGAGCTTTGGCTCGTTGTAGTTTTGAAGAAACGGTCGACATACTTATGGAAGCTGCTATCCATTCTGAATGTGATCCGATGGCTGGTGTCTCAGAAACTATTATGCTTGGTCAACTGGCTAGAATTGGGACAGGTTGTTTTGATTTACTTCTGGATTCAGCCAAGTGTCAGGAAGCGCAACCTATACCACTAGGCGGTGTCTTGGGAATGGGTTTATTCAATGCACCAGGTTTCGAGGGTCTTGCTGCGCTTGCTTCACCGGGATTGGGCTTGACAATGAACGCAGACGGAATACCTGTGCTTGGAGATAGTGGTTATCATACACCATGGGACAACGCCCACTCTCCTGTTGGGTCTGTGGATTCTCCAAGTTATCGTGGAGGCCTTGGAAGTGCTACAGCCCCACATAATGCTATGTTCTCTCCAGCTATGCGTTACGATTCTTCTTTATCTCCTGGTAGAAGTCCTCAGTTAGACAGTCCTCGTACTCCGGAAGCATTTTCACCAGCTGCTTATGTCGGTTTCAGTAGTCCTATGTCTTTTATGGGTACTCCACAAACTGAGTTGGGTTCACCTGGCTCTAGTCCTGGACATTCTGGGAGTCTCAGTAGTGGTTCTTTTGGATATGGAGGTCCTGGAAGTCTTCGTGCGGATATATTTTCACCCATACACAAACCATCCTACGCTGGCACAGGCAGCAGTTCAAGTTTCAGTGCTAGTGGGGACAGCAACTCACCGACGTTCTCATTACAACAATCCTATGAACCGATGTCTGTTGGATACACTCAACGTTCACCACATCATCCTAGTTTTTCAGGATATGGAATGATATCTAGTGGGTCACTGGGTCCGTCCAGTGATTCTCCTGATAGCATAAATTATTCCTATAGTCCAAATAGTCCAATGCCTACAGGTGGTGGTAGTTCTATGAGTCGAGATTTCAGCGGTTGGGGTGTTCTACCTGGCTCAGAAACTCCCGGAGTTTCCCCAAGTTCACCCTCACCTGGTATGAGCGCAAGCAGCTTAAGTGGAAGCAGACCATCGTTTTATCCAAATAGTCAACCTGCTTCACCGTTGTCATTTAATGCTTCTCCTTCTGCCCCTCGCTACAGCCCTCCAACGTTAGCCGGAAGTTCTTCAGTTGAAAGTTATTCTCCACAGATGACTACCCCTAGTTCTCCAGGTGGTGCTCCAAGTGGGACCTTAGGAGGACCAAGCAATTCTCCGCTTTCTTATCCAACTACTCCAAACTATCCTATGTCTCATGGTTTAAGTACTGGAACGGGCTTGGGATCTTCAAGTCTTTTGGGCTATTCAGGTACTGGTTTCTCTGGGTCCACTCTTGGCACCTCAGCATATAGTCCGTCGACTTTCCATACTCCTTCATCACATTACTTTATGACCACTCCTCGACCAGGTTCACCCTCTCCCAGTCCACGAGAGTATTATCCTACTCCTGATACACGGCGGTAATAAACTGTTGTCAAGTATATCACTCATCTCAATAATTTCTAAAATAACTGTACATAAATATATTTACTAACGTTTTCGATTTGAAATCATCTGAAACAGTTCAAGATAAACATTTCTGTCATTTTTTTCAGGTTCTTTAATAAATAATTCTTTAAAAACTTTATCAGTGTAATACTTTAATAACGCGAAATTTCCACGAAATCATTGCTCTTATTTGGGATTGAAAAATTGTTTTGATAAAATATCCAAGTTTTCGGTATAATAGACAGTCAGTCAGTTAAAACGTAGAGCTTCGTACGTGCGTACATCAGTTCAGGTTTCCATACCGCATTAGCACAGAGATGCAACTGTTAGTTCAAATCCAATAGTGCTAGAGTTAGTAGAAGTATTAGCAGTAATGGAGAAGATTAGGGAGCGAAGATATGATTCGAGAAGTATAATTCAATGAGATAAATTTAGAAGGAGAAAGGTAGAGATTATGAGGAATGCAGAAGCTTAGAATTTCATAGGATACAAAGAGTGGATGCACCTACGCCATTGCAAACGATTCTGAGCCATGTCGTTCAAGGTCTCTAACCATCGGTTACTATCGTCTCGCGGACCCCAACCAGGTAGCATACATCTACCAACATGACTCAGTCCACTTGTCAGTGACTTTATGGATTTCTGCCATGTTTTGATTTGGCCGCCTCTAGCTTTCTTCCAACCTACTCCTACACTGCAAAACATAGCTCGTCGCGGCAGTCGGTGGTTAGCCATACGTAACACATGTCCCAACCACCTCAACTGATGAAGTTTCAATACTTCATCACTTGATCTGCCATCCCTACCTAGTACTCGATTCCTCACTATAGCGTCGGTTGTCCGAAGAAACCTATGATCGAAAACCAGTAACCTACGAATATCTACTATTCTTACCGGCCATGCTTCACAGCCATAAAGTAGGACGTAGCAAACTGCTGCGCAGTAGACTTATCCTTTAGTCAGCAAACGGATATCTTGCCTATGCCATAAGTGACGCAGGTTGGCAAAAGCCAACCGGCCTTCTGCAATTAAGCCATCTACACTGATGAAACTACCGAGATAAGTGAAGCGGTCGACACACTCAACTAATTCACTCCCTATCACTAGTTCAGGTGCCTATGCAAGGCAATCTCTAAGCAACATTTTGCATTTCGAGGAGGAAAATCACATCCCGAACATGCTTGCATCGTTACTTGCGGTAGTCAGAAGACTCTGCATTTTGTCAGCGTCTTCACCAAATAGGACTATGTCATCGGCATATTCTTGGCCAGTAAGCGATCCTCCTGGTAGAAGGTCTACTCCTGAAAAATCTGACGATGATAATGTTAACTCTAAAAGGATGTCTACGGCAAGGTTAAACAAGAATGGGGAGAGTTGAGAGACCTGACGAACACCACTTGAAGTAACTAATTACGATGACAGTTCGCCATAAGCTCTTACTCGACAAGTGATGTTCTAGTAGAGAGCCTGTATAAGGTTAATGTACTTCTTTCGTACACCTTTTAATGACAGATACTGCCACAGAACTTCGCGACCGACAGAGTCGAATGCCACTTCAAGGTCGAGTAATACTACAATTGTGGGGCGTCTGAACCTGTGTTTTTGATCTAGGACCTGCCGTAGTGTGAAAATGTGGTCTATACATCCCCGTTTAGGCCTGAAACCAGCCTAGTTTTCTCTAGTCTGCTCGTCTCGAGCTTTCGTTAGATGTCGGAGTATCAATGAGGCCAATATTTTAAATACTATATTAGTTAGACTTATTCCTCTGTGATTGTCGCAAGAGGACTTTAGTCCTTTCTTATAGACTGGAACAATCAGTGATTGAGACCAGTCAGATGGTATTACGCCCAGTTCCCAAATCCTGCCTAAGATTTCAGTCAATCTAACTGTTAAAACTGAACCATCATCCTTAAAAATCTCAGCGGTCAATCTATCAGGTCCTGCTGCTCTCCCTTGCTTCAGATTTCCTATAGCCTTTTCTACTTCATAAAGATTCGGACGGTTTACGTCGACTTGCCATTCAGGATGACTGGGGATCGTGGGTAACCGAGGTGTGGGTGAAGGCCAGTTGAGCTGATCTCCTGGATTGAGTATAAGTACTAGTCCCATCCTTTTCCGAGATAGCCTCACTCACATTCGGATTCCTAATACCGCTTTCCTTGATAAGTCGGAACAACTGTCTGCTGTTGCGTATCGCCACTGCCTTTTCCGTCGCTCTTGCTTTCACCACCCACCAATGTTTGCGATCATTTCGTAGGCTTTCTATCAGCCTGCACCTAATCTGACTTCGCTCTTCGTCATGTTCAAAACCAGGTGGGATGAGTTTCCGAGCGTCTATCAGTTCGGTGGATGCTACTGAGATGCACGGCTTCTTCCTAGACTTATGGTTTATCTTATTAGCATATATCACTGCTGTTTCCACAGACTTCTTGATATCATTCCAACCTGCCTCCGGAGGGGAATCGCTTACATGGTCGCCTAACTATCATTCTAGTTTTTGCTGAAATATATTCTTAGCTTTATTATCATTAAGTAGAACCCTAAGAGGTTTCCTTGCGGTGTTTTTCCTACGTCCAGTAGGCCTCTATCGAACCCCTCCATCGGTGGCTGATGGCAATGTGATCTAGTTGTGTCCAACGTTGAGACAGTTTTGGGGTTCGCCAGTTCAAAAGATGTTTGTCCTTATGCTTAAAGTTAGTGTTTGATAGAAATAGGCGATTATCTGAGCATAGCTGCATCAGACGGTCGCCATTGTCTGTTCTTTGAGCAGTGACACCATAAGATCCACCCAGGTGTCTTTCCTTTTCACTGAGTCTACCTACTTGAGCATTCAAGTCACCGGCCATTATTGCTGTTTCAGAGGAGGCAATCGCGAATGTCCCTATCTTTCCAAGTCCCTACTGTCCCATTTAGTCGGACAGCGCGTAAGCGACTATCTACTGGGATCCATTCTAGGAGAGATAGTTCTACCCTAGGACTTAATGCTATACCTACGCCAGCGAGACTCTGGGAAGCAGCATCAGGGCTACCGGATACACGAAGAGTAAATCGAGCTGCTTTTTTATTTTTGAAATCAAATTAATGATTTTACTAGGATCTTGTATGCGCGTTTCCGAGACAGAACATACCTCGATCTCGACCGCAGAGCCCAAGGGACAACTGCTTGCGGCCGGTTACACATGGCTTTTTTTAAGAACTTTTTAAAATATTATCTCCGCTCTTGTATATAAGCCCCTGATGGGCAGCCCTTAATGCCGGAGACGGAAATCCGTGAGGTAGGGTGAGGTGTGACATTTTAGGGTCGACCTTTTCTAACCCTTCCTTCCTTGTGAGAAGGCAGCATCGCTTCAGATGCTGGTTGTCCGAGGGAAACACCTTACTGCTGTCACACCCATATGCAGTCAGCAGTACGACTTCGCCCTCAGACCTTGATTAGCTGCTTTTAGTTTCATCGTTCTTCAATCGACTTGCCTGGCATTGTAGAACCTTCAGGAACATATGTTCCAGCCAATATAGCTCGGTTGGGTCATGACGATAGGCAAGCCCGACCACCACGTCAAGGTAGCAGCTACAGTCGGGTGGTGTAATAATTAACGCATTTTAGTGACCAAAGATTACTGTGAGTACTTACTAAGTTTCTTCTAGTTCACTGGCTGAAATTAGAAGCAGTAGAAACAGATTCTATAAAAAAGTCATTGTATACATTTCCTTTAGAGTGTTAAATATCTTTTGCTCATATTATATAGGAACATTCCTATTTTGATATTATTATCGACTTGACAACTGCCGTTTGAAGAACTGCCTATTTGAAACAAGGATTGAAAAAGTCACATATTTTTGTTTAACTATGCAGATCCACCATTTAGGCATTTATTCTTGCCGATTCTGTTGCTGTGTTCAATTACACCCGATAATGTTCTAGAACGAAATCTTACGAAATATGATATAACCTGCTACAATTGGTCTACTTCTCACTCAACAATGATTAGAAGTGATTGAAACTATTCCAAATCAACCCAAATAATGAAGATTGTTGAGTAAACACTCAATATCACTGCAGAAAAATGGTTACTTTATCGCTACGAACTATCGTGGTTTTGAAATGACAATCATTTTTAAAAATCTATCCCCATATTGACTAATTGGAATTACCCCGTTAAAATCCAATCACAAAACCTTATTCAGTATCGTTCTAGTAAACTGAGGATTTTACATCGACCCTAAACATGCTATTAATAATCATTTTATGTGCTTATTCAAAAAATTGCTCCTCTGAACAGAAATAAAATATATACCTAATTTCATTTAATAAATGGTAATGAGGAAAGTGAGATTTTTGAAGTTGTAGCTTTAATTAATCGAGTAAGTGCAATTACGACCTTGGGAAATAACATGTAACAACTAGTATAGTAACTTACTATATCCAACCGGTATCATAATATCTATATATCTTTAGGGAGTTATTTCGAGTTTGTCATCTCATGCTGTCATAATCAATGTAGAAGCCTGGTAGATATGTACGTTCGCCCAACTTATGTTATCGCATTAACACGGCAAAATGAAACTAAAGAACTAATTAGTACATGAGTCGAAATAATAGTGGGAAAAGACGAAATGAAGGAATGACGGAATTCATGATCTAGAAGACGATAAAGCGAGTTCATTTTGCCTCATTGATAGTCTCAATAATGATTCCAGATGGTGCACTAAGAGGCCATGCTAATAAGTACGAAAGATAAATTGCGTGCCCTGTTGAGCATGTGGATTAAACAAAGCGGATATTTTAATTTGTCATTGTGAGTATGCTTCACAATGAAAATATTTTCTCTGAAGAATTCTTAAAAAGATTGAGTGTTGGGGTGAAGTGCGACCGGACTACTACGACTAGCGACTGGAAATCTCTCTGTGTTTGAAATTCATTCCTAGAATTAGCTGAATTCAAAGTGTTATTTAGGAAGTGAAATGTTCTACATTAA